ACTATATACTACATCCTGATGCGTTTTCAGGACATTCTGAAACGTGACCATTTTTGACAAAAACGACATGCTATAGTATGACTTTTTTTTTTTCAGAAAGACAATAAAAGACAATAAAAAAATGAATGTTTTTGGGAGCACCACAAATCATTTCTGTACGATCTAAAAAATTGATTTTACAGAATCTAAACTTGTGTTTTCTCTCCTGCAGGTTCTTGTTGGAAGAATACAGAGTGGTTGGTCGAACCAGAGCTGAAACGTTAGCCTCACAAAGTGTTTATATGTACAGAGGGGCGACAGATTAAACTGAATATGAAGCATCTTTGTAAGGTGTCGGGCCACCAGAACAGCTTCAGGGCTCCTCGGCACTGATTGTCTAAGTCTCTAAACTCTGCTGGAGGGATGAACGCCATCCTTCCACCAGATGTTTCCTTCATTTGGTGTTTTGATGATGGCGCTGGAGTAAATCTCCCAATTTCCTAGAAAGAAGAGCTTTGTGTTTAAGGCAGGCTCATGTTGATCAGAGAACAGAGCAGGGTTGTTGTGTAGCGATACTTTACACGTTTGTAATCGTGGCCTTTTCAATGTTTACACTGTGAGCTTTTACTATTGTGGATTTCATGTCTGTTACATCTGCAAGATATATCATAGCGCCCCCTGGTGGCTCAGAGTTCAACACTTCGTTTTCTGGAGTTCTTATGATATCGTCTCATTATTTCTCAATTCTCCGTACAAATTCTGAAGTCAACTGACGTAAAGTTCTTTTTGAATTTTGGATTAAATTGTTTTATATATTTTTCTATCCAATAAACTGCTGCTTGTGTGACTGTTGTGGATGTTTTATGTTGATCTCACAGAACTCGAACTAATGGAAACTACACACTGTCCTGATCTTAGATACTTGACCTATTTTACTAAAGACTCTCTGAAGATGCACAATAAAGTTAGCATGTTTAGGATTTGAATTGAAAAAGAGTGATTCAGGTGAGCTGGTTTGGTTTTCCAGCTGCAGATTCTCCATCTGTAAAGCTCTTTAAGAACAAAGACATTTTCTTGGCATCTCGACATTTGGTATTAGTGAAATCCTTAAACATCAGAACATCTGGACAGATGTCAGCTTTTCTGTGTCGTCAGGTTTGGTTCAGTAGATTTGGACAGTTTGGGAAAACTTTTGAGTTGTTTTGTTACGATTTGGGACGGATTTTAAGTAATTTTGGACAAATTTAAAGTCTTTACGTACAATTCTGGACACATTATGAGTCATACTGGACAGTTTTGGACAACCTTTGAGTATTTTTTTTTTTTTTAATTCAAGTCTTTTTGGACAACTTTTCAGTTATTTTATACAATTTTTACAAATTTTAAATCTTTTACTTCCCTTTAGGACAAATTTAAAGTCATTTTGGACTAATTCTAAGTCATTTGGACAATTTTGGACTATTTTTAAGTTTTTATTTTTTTTTAAATCAGTCATTTTGGACCAGTTTGTGACAAATTTCAAATTTGGACAATTTTGGACAACTTTTGAGTTGTTTTTGTACAATTTGGGGCAAATTTTAAGTCATTTCAGACAAATTTAGTCATTTTGTGCAATTTTGGGGGAAAAATTCATCAGAACATCTGGACCAGGGGTGTTGAACTCCGGTCCTGGAGGGCTGCAATCCTGCATGTTTTAGATGTTTCCCTCTTCCAACACACCTGATTCAAATGATCAGGATCGTTATCAGACTTCTGCAGAGCTTGATGATGAGCTGATCATTTGAATCAGGTGTGTTGGAAGAGGGAAACATCTAAAACATGCAGGATTGCGGCCCTCCAGGACTGGAGTTCGAGACCCCTGGTCAGATGTCAGCTTTTTGGTGTCATGTTTGGTTCAACAGGTTTGATGCTGGAAAGTGTAAAGCTGCATTTCTGCAAACGTTCAGGATTCCAAACTTTATGAGTAAACCATGTTGTATAGTTTCATGGAAAAGTGAACAAAGTGCCTCAAAGTTTTATCAGGATGAAATGCCACAAGTTGAGTCTTTGGATATTTTAAGACAACAAGGAAGCTGTTTTAAAGACAGAATAGTATCAAAATAAACAGCTGCTGCAAAGTTTTTATCATCTTAAAATTCAAGACATGATATGATTAGTCTCAAAAGTTTTATATTTTCATGTTTTATTTAATGTTTTGAGAGAACTCATCAAGCGCTGTCTGAAATTACATGTAACAGCATAAATGTACTTTCAGAAGAATCCAGCAGAGTTTCAACATCAATCACAAACACAAAATGTTCTTCAGTAACTGTTGATGACAGACTCTGGATGAGAACCTGAAGAGATAAAAACAAGCAACAAGCTCCTCCTAAATAATGCAGCAAGATATTTATAAAAAAGTCACATTTATATTTTTCACTGTAACAGTCAAATATTCACATTAATGTTCAGAAATAATCAGCAGGTTTCAGTTCATATGTTTTAATGCCCCTGTCTAAGTCTAGCTGAAGCAAAGTGATATTTGTTAAATGAGCTGCAGCTACACAGTTTTTATTTACAGTCACAGAATCAGGACCAACGTGGGGATCGAACCAGCGACGCTGTGATTAATGGACCACCTGTTGGCAGACGCTTCACCTTTTTCCTTCAATATACAACCGTGGTACCATCTGGTTTCTGTTTCTGGGGAAACAGACGACGTTACAGCGAAGGAAGAACAAATCCTGTTTTCCAGATGTTATCAAGGCCTCAAGTGACTTTTATAAAATGTTCTTATGATGTAAAATATTAACAACAAAAATCCTGAGGAGGTTTTGGGATGTTGTTGAGGGAACAAAGCAGAAACGTTCCCACAACGTTCCTCAAATTATACGACAACAAGACTGAAAATCAAACAATCAGAAAACGACGTTAGAACCAAACATTTTCAGAACGTCTCAGGCATTAGGCAGCATTTAGGAACAACATTCAAGGAACTAAAAACAAACCAATAAACAACTTAGTGCTGAAAGCATTAGCAGAACTTTCTTAGAATGTTTTCAGAACGTTATCATTGTCATTACTCAGAGTTTTTTCACTGTTTTGTCTCGATTAAATTCCTAAAATCACAAACTTGTCTCGAGCAGTTCTGATTTTAATTCTAATTTGATTACTGTTTATCTGATGTTGTGAAACCTGGATCATGTTTTTGTCCTAAATCTGAGTGTTAATGATTATTAGAGACACAAATCAATGAAGTCGTATCAAAACTGAGCGCTTTACGCTGAGCAGCTACAGAACAGATAAAAACCAGACAAAACCAAACCAATGATGTTCAAATTTAAACTCACACCATTATAAAAAAAAAAAAAACAGTGTTTCAGTGTTTAGTGCATATGTGATTATTTTGGTCGCAGTCTGGAGCCCTGAATTGAAGATATATGAAGATAGAAGTTTATATTTATATATATTTAGGAAAGTTAAAACAACCTCAAGGGAGCGTAAAACTTGTTTTACCTTAAAACTCCCATAAAAGTGCATTCAGGAAACAGGATTACAATCACAACACAGACCCAGAGTAGGCAGGAGATATATCATGTCGGTAAGTTGACAGAACAGCAGGTGGAGCCAGAAACGTCCTTTAGGAGTCCAGTTGAACCTGCAGGAAATAAGTTTACATCAGTAAAATCTCCTCCAGAGTAAAGTCAGGTTCGTTTAGAGGGAAACACTGACAGGACTGTTCAGGATCATCTGATCAAACATCTAAACTCACCTCCAGCAGTAATCGCACAATAACAGCAACTCAAACAACAACTACAGCAACAAGTCCAAGAAGTCCAACGACCAAACCAGAACCTGCACTGGGCTTCTCCCCTGAAAGACAAAAAGGTGACGTTGCTGTTATAACAGTAATATAACAGTAACCATGTTCTCAAACAACATTCACACTGAAAACACTTGAAGATGTTTATTCTCACAAGTCAGTTTGTGCATCAAACACTCAGAGGATTTGGGTTGAGTTTTATTCTGAAAATCTGCTGCGTCTCTGATGAACGCCGTTGAACACACCGTCAGACTAAAGAGAGCAGTAATCAGGACGTTATGAGATGATTTAAAGGATCATTCTGGTTTATTTCAATCTGCTGTAGTTGTTAATATCTTCCAGTTGATTCACCTCCACGTCCATGTTTAAGTCATTTTGGACTCATTTAAAGTCATTTGGACAGTTTTGGACAACTTTTAAGTTTTTATTTTTTTTAAATTTCAAGTCATTTTGGACCAATTTGTGACACATTTCTAATTTGGACAATTTAGGACAACTTTTGAGATGTTTTATACATTTTTGGGCACATTTTAAGTAATTCCAGGCAAATTTAAAGTCATTTTGTGCAATCTTGGAAAAAAATTAAGTCATTTTGTGCAATCTTGGAAAAAAATTAAGTCATTTTGGACAAATTTGAAGTCATACTGGACAATTTTGAGTTATTTAGACAGTTTTGGACAACTTTTGAGTTGTTTTGTACAATTTGGGATGAATTTTAAGTAATTTTGGACAAATTTAAAGTCTTTCTGTACAATTCTGGTTAAATTTTTAAGTCATATTGGACTATTTTTTAAGTCTTTTGTACAGTTTTGGATCCTTTAGGACAAATTTAAAGTCATTTTGGACAAATTTGAAGTTATATGGACAGTTTTGGACAACTTGGTTTTTTAAAAAAGTCATTTTGGACCCATTTGTGACAGATTTCAAGTCATTTTGGGCAAATTTTCAATTACTTTCTACATTTTTGTACAAAATTTTAAGTCATTTTAGACAATTTTCCAGTTATTTTTCCTCCTCAGTTGGCAGCAGAACAGTGAACCAGTTTACTGATGGATGTCGTCTTTGTGGACGTCCTGCGTCCTTCTGCCTCCAAACAAACAGTCAAAGTCAGACTCACACAAGGAGACAAACCAACATGTACAGATGTTGATGATCAGATTTGTTTCTGACTCGAGTGGCTCATGTTGACTCCTGCAGTTGATTAATTAGGATTAACTGTATTTCAGCACTTTGTCTCTCTCTAAGTAATAAAATCATAAAATCGAGTTTTTTGAGCTTCCAGTGAAATGAAATTCATGTGTTCAAGTGTTTTTTTTAAGCCTCTTCTCAGGATTCAACCTCCACAAGGTTCCTGCTTTTATCTCTGCAGATTCATGAAGTAAAGTTTTAGTTTGACTCAGATATTTGCAAAAAAAAAGTGAAACATCTTGCAAACATCACTGAAGTCAGTTAAACATGAATAATTTGAGTTAACTGAATTTAAAATAGGAACAGGAAGAATCTCACCGGGGCTCCGCACAATGATCTCAATACGAAGTGTGTCGTTGATGTTCCCCTCCGTGGTCACACAGCGATAGTGGTCGCTCTTCGTCACAGTAGTTTGTAGAATAATGTTGTAGCTTCCTCCTGTTTCATTCACCGGTAGGAGTTTATCAGGAATTGAGTTTCCGGCGCTGTCCTCCCAGAAAACTTTGAGCTCTGGAGAAGCACCCAGAACTTCACACTGAAGCAAAACTCCATCTTTAGTTGGTCCAACTATAGTGACAGACGGCTGTGAAGCTGCACCTGAGAACATAAATAATAACTTAGAAGGAACGTGTGCAGGATGAGACACACTAACTGTGATTCACTCCTTCACTGTGTCTTTATGTGGATCACAGCAAATGCAAGAAGAAATAAAAACACAGGAAAAGACTTGAGTTGAAAAAAACAAAACACATCTCAGCACATTTTAAACCAGATTGAAGTGTACATTTAGTTACTTACCAGCATTTTTAAATCCTAACATGAGCACATTTCACACTGATCAGGTTTCTTCTGCTCTAAAATAATATCTTTAAAATGAAATCAAGTGAAACCATCTGTCTCAGTCTGAGCTCATTTGGTGCTAAAACCTTGTGAACCACATCAACGCTGTGTTTGTTTTAGAGTTCAGACTGATCTCAGAACTGTTGTTTTACTCCTGATTATTTCAGAAGAACTCACCAGGATGAGGGACGTAGATCTTAGTCTCAGTCTGATGGTAGATTTCCTTCTGTGTGGCCACGCAGCGATAGAATCCGGTCCTGTCCACAGTAATGTTGAGGACGGTGTCGTACTTGTTTCCTTTTCCGTCACTGGCAGCGAGGATGTTTCCATCGCTGTCCCGCCACTCCAGTACCGGCTTCGGAACAGCACCTCTGACGAGACACTTCAGCAGAACCACATCGTTTGACTTTTCAGAGGTGATGTAGGGCCTTGAAGACGCACCTGAGAAAACAGAATAAACAGTTTAAATGAGACAATTACAACATTTGTCATTTAACGCTCACATGTTTCTTGTTCACCCAACGTTTTAAATGCAAACAATACTTCTGACTCCATTAAAGACATTTATACAGTGAAGAAGATGCAGGAAACCCAATTTTTTCAGTTCATAGAAATCACATAAACAGGATAAATACAAGCTGAAGAGACAAAAGATTGCGTGTGAGTGACAAAATGTTTATTAAAAGAAAAATTGGTCCATTATCTTTGCAGTGTTTTCTAAGAGGAATACAATAAAGTAATATTTAAAAAGTGATATAAAATATGAAAAACTGGACACAAAAATGTGTACATGCATTAAATCCTCACATACGTCAACAAAAGCTGAGGAAATATCTTTTTTTTTAATGTAAGAATTGTGTTTTATGTCACTGGGGGTAGAATTAGTATGAGAAAGGCTGTAGAGTCAGTAATTAATTAAATAAAAAATGTTTAACAAGCAAAACCTGAACACACACCTCGGAAACTAAACACAAGAAGATTAATCACCTGAGTATTTAAATCAGTAGGTTTATTAAACTGCAGGGAATTTAGTAGAAATAGTTTTTAAAAAGTTCTGGATAACTGCAAGATGTGATTAATGCACTTTAAATACACTTTCTGGTCACTTCTTTTATAAAATGATAATTTTCAAACCTTCTTTATGAGTTAAACGTGAACAAATGTCAGAGATGTGATGTGTGAATGTGTTTCAGTGTCAGTGATGAATCTCATCATATACAGGTGAGATGTAAAGACCAGAACCAGGACTCACCTTTGATCTCTGGTCTGGGTTTTAGGATTGGATCTAAAGGGGGAAAGAAAACATATGTTAGGGTTGTTTTTGTGATATTATCAACTTGTCAGACAGGTAAAACTGGAGGAAAGAAGCTCAGAGGTGTTTATTAGACATATTTGTTGACAATCAAAAACGACAAAAACAAGCCAAAGTCACAGTTTTATAAGCGTCTCATGGAAGAACTCACCAACAGTCAGACTGATGCTGGATTTTATTTCTGGCTGAAGGGATGTTGAATAAGAAAAACACGTGTAGGTTCCACTGTCTGACGTCTTTGTTTTTCTGATCACTATGGAGGCGTTACCAAACTGGAGTCGTGCAGGAAAATGAAAGATCCGACCTTTAAATTGCGGATCTTGACCCGTTTCTCCGTGACCGTAATAACTGCCCTTAGAATATAAGAAAACCTCCTTCTTCTGTTTATCCACATCTTTCTTCCAGTCAAACACCTTGTTCTTGATGTTCGCAGTGCCGAAGGAACAGCTCAAAATGGCGTCATCGTCTTCCTTCACCTGCATCGAGGTGGTAGCTGAAAGACAAAAACATGAATTAATCAGTGATGTGGATACAAAGAAAGTCAAGAAACACAGTTTACATGAGGTCTGAAGTCCAGTCAATTTTTACTTTAGGTACTTCCTTGGATAAAAATAACCTTATGAATATTTAAATAGTGTTGAAATTATTTTATTGGTGGGAGGAAATCTAAACATGTGGTTCTGAGGGCATATGATGTAATAGTGCTGGAAGGGACACTGTTTATGACGAGTTCTTGGAAGTTGATGAGCTTTATGATGATGAGGTTTACAAGCAGAATCTGGGCAGGAAGTAGAGGCACAGGCGAAGGGTTCAACTCTGCATTAGGAGCCAAGATTGTTTACGTCTTGATGGCAGAGGGAGTAAAATGATATTGTTGCAGAGGTCTGGGCTGTGTTTGATACTGAGTATGATCTTGTTGGTGACTGACCACCACATGAGGCGGCCCATGAAAGGCATGGCCGCAGGAGTTTGGGCATCCAGAGGAAGCTCAGGGTGAAGTTGTTGCTCCTACGCATCCAAATGAGCTAATAAGGCAGTTCGGATGCCTGATTGCTTCCTAGGTGATGACCTTTGGAAGTTGTCCAAGCACATCGGCTTGGGAGGAGACAGCAGGGTAGACCCAGAACTCACTGGACGGATGATATATCTCACTTGGCCTGGGGACACCTCAGGATCCCCCAGGAGAACTGAAAACACTGCTGGGAGGAGGGACATCTGGAATGACTAGGTTCACTTGTGACTTTTGCAACCCGACCCCAGTTAGGTGGAAGAAAATGGATCGATGGCTGAATGAACTGTTGCCGTGGGCGATGGAGGCCACTGGCCTCTGTGCTCCAGAAATTTCATCAGAAGGTTGATGGAGGGGTCTAAAGGTGGAAGAAACTGGTGTCCTCGTGCCAAAAATGTAAGTAGCAAACTGCTGATGAGGTTTAAAGAGGCGAGTCTTTTATAGTTCTTTGGCTGGCAGTGGGCCCCCTGCATCTGGACCTTCTATTGCAGACTGAAGACTAGAGCCTTTAAAGATGCTGAAGGTGGGAGATGACTCATGGGTAAAAAAGGATGTATTGCAGTGTTTTCTTGTAGGAATTAATAGAAAGAATGTTAATGATTAATAACTAATGGATTATTGACAAATAAAAACTTATTAATTGATAAGGCAGAAGAAAAGTTCACGCATGTCAAAAAATGTAGCGAAGATTAGCTGTAGTACCTGGTTATTCCACCAGGTGGAGCCTTTACCTGGTTAAAACTTCAACGACCATGTTCTGTGGTCAACTTAAACAAAATATGAGCTGTTTGGCCACAATGATCAGAAACATGTTTGGAGGAGAGAAGGTGAGGCCTTTAACCCCAAGAACACCAAAACTACCATCAAGCATGGAGGTGGCAGCATCATGCTCTGGAGCTGTTTTAGAGCCAGTAGAACTGGAGCTTTACACAAAGTAAATGGAACAATGAAGAAGGAGGATCACCTCCATATTATTCAGGAAAACCTAAAATCATCAGCTACAAGGTTGATTTTTGGACACAGTTGGATGTTTCAACAAGACAATGATCCCAAACACAAAAATGATATGAAATGGTTAAATCAGGTCAGAACTAGCTTGTAGACAGAAACCAAAAGCACTTAGTGAAGGTGAAGATGACCAAAGGACGTTTAACCAAATATCAGCATTACTGTATGAATACTTTTGACACAGCAGAGTTTGTCATATTTCCAGAAGACCTTTAATAAATATATGAAAGAACGACAAAAATCACAGAAAAGAATCAAGAACAAATAAACAAACTAACTGTAAATCTCCCATTTTCACGGTTCCAAACAGAACTGTGTCTTTAAAGAGCCTCATCAGGACAACTGAAGTCCACATGGAACCAGTCTACATGCAGGACTTTTAGATTTGGTCCACACCTGAACAAAGCAGTGAAATCTGACTCCTACAATAAAGGTTCCACTGATACGAGTCTCAGACAGAACCAAGGTTCTACCTACAGAACACGGTTCCACATCAGTCACATGTTCCTTTCAGAGCACAATGAGAAGCTGCAGACAGCAGAGATGCTGGAAACAGAAGCTGCTTTGAGGCCGCAGCACATCAGTGATGAGGCCGCAGCTCAGATCCACAGAGAGCAGCTGCTTCACGGTTCTGACGGACTGAAGCTCAATCTGC